AGAGAGAGAGAGAGAGAGCTTGGGCGGAGGCCAGAGGTACCTACCTGCAGCGCCGTTGCTCCAGCTTCGTTTTCGAGGTACTGCAGCACAGCGCCAACACCACAGGTTAGTATCTGGTTCGTAACAGAGAGAGAAAGGGAGAGTTCTTCTTCTTCTTCTTCTCAGTCCACCATCTCTTCTCTCCCTCTCACTTCTGACTTCACTGCATCTGCAGACTATGAGAGAAGAGATACAGAGCTTGGTGACATTTGATCCAGACTCGACTTTCGAGGGTTCAGACATGGCAACGAGGGACTGTTTGGGATTGGTGACCAAGACTTGGTGTTAACGACATTCTCATCTTCTTCCCTCCTTTCGTCTGATCCTAATCTCTTCGTCTGTGTATGTCTGGACCTGGCGCTTTCTTCCTGTGTGCAGCGCCAGGCTCCTTCACACTTCGTGATGGATACAATGCATGTTTAGTCTGAGTTCAAACATTGATTGGGCTAGTTAGAGTACTCTAGCATTCTGCTTCGTTACTCTGAACTACGTGAATGAGGTCAGTCCTGTCAGGTCAGTCTTTGTATCAAAGTCTTCCCTGCGCTCTTCAGCATCTTTATGTATGAATGAGAATGTACATTGCTTGTCGAGATCCTACTCGTACCGCATTGTCTATTCAGTCCTTTTCATCACATTGCAGATTCTCGGTTTATTACATACATTGCAGATCTGTGCATGTAACAGTTTCCTTCAACTTCTTCGAGAAGATGCTGAGTGTGGCACCGACATCTATATGTGTGTGCTCGACCATCACTTCATTTCTTTGGGTCGCAGCAGCAATCCGAGTTGAGAAAAAAGGTGCGGCGGGACTGATGGTTTCAGAGAAAAATGAACATGGACAAGTGCACGTCCAGGTTCAGATCATGGAAGTGGTCATCCCCTACATGCCCAGGTGCAGTCTGAGGGAGGCACTTCTGCAAGTCAGGCAAAGCCGAGAAGCCTTATGTCGGGGCCGCCTACGTCAAGGCACCACTTCTGCGGAGAAGATCAAATTCTTTACCAAGACGAGGACTTGGTTGCCATTGTCAGAGCTGGAATGCTAAAGCTGCCCCCATCAGAACTTACCATCGCCTCTCGATTTTGGACACGTGCAGTTTCAGCTGTGGGAGTCAAGGTGTTGTGGGTCACTAGTGGGATTCCGAGCGGCATTGGCAACCATTGCGTCCTCTGCCCACCCTTCACATGAGCAACAGAACTCAGGGCTTAGAACAGGAGGAGGTTTGGAGAGAGAGGCCCCTGCTCTACCATTCTCCATTTGACCCAAAAATGGATGGTGAGAAGATGAATCTCACAGCAGTGATTGCACATGATAGAGATCCTTCTATTTATGTTTATGCTTGGGTTTTGTACTGCCCTCACGAGTCAAACACTTAGTCGCTCGCTTGATGTATAGATATACTAGGCTACCAGCCGGGCCGCCTGGGTCCCGGGTGGCCAGCCCGGGCAAGGCCCCGGGAAGGTCCCAGCAAAAAAAAAAAAAAAAAAAAAAAGACGAAAAAAATCCAAAAACTCCGAAAAAAAACTATGTTATGAAGAAAAACAAACTGAACAACGTTTGCCGCAGGGTCACATCGAAATTCTTCACCAAATTTACAATACAAAATAAAATTTAAAAATCATTCTTTTATTTTTAATAATTTGTATTATTTCTTTTATTTTTTTTGGCCCGGCCGGGCAAGTGACCCCGGGCCACTCTGGTAGCCTAGTATATATCGTCACAAACAGAACTGCCCGGTGAAACCGTAGGCAGAGAGAGAGAAGAGGACAACAAACGAGGGGCTGTGACAAACTGTTTCGTCGGAGTATCGTCACAGCCCCTCGTTTGTTGTCCTCTTCTCTCTCTCTGCCTACGGTTTACCGGGCAGTTCTGTTTGTGACGATATATATATCGTCACTTATATATATAAACAGAACTGCCCGGTAAACCGTAGGCAGAGAGAGAGAATA